GGGTCATCTTTGTCTTCTCCAACGTCGATCTGAAACAGATACGGTGGCAAACAGATCAATAAAGAGCAATTAAAATTAATTATATCAAGTATCCTCACCTTAATTAATTATAGAACGTAACATTCCAAAGTTTACAGGTGTGAAAAGTAAACCAACTCCAGGAGAAATACTGCAGCAGAAAATTTCTTACTTCCGTAGAATTCAAATAAATATCCAGTTGCCCTAGCTCATGGGTTGAAAATTAACTGCATGATGTTACAAGGCGAAGACGAAACAGCAAATCAAGAATATAACCCGGAAAGACCACACCCATGTAGACATAGAATGTTTCAGTATAACCAAACTGAGCATTAATTCTCTCATTTATTGTATAACCTGCAGAAATGGACAAAAAAATATATTAATTACACTTATAATTAAGAAACACAAACAAAAACGCACCAAAAAGCAAGTAAAATAGCTGAATTAAAAAATAAATAAACAACAACTTTACGCCATTTTACATCACAACCATAGATCACGACATAGGTTAACGTCAAATAACACGTCAATTTACGACATAGACAACAGAAAAAGATTAAAAAGAAAATCCATAGATAGATAAACTTCATAGATAAACTCCATACATACATCAATGATAAATATCAATTTATTCTGTGGAAAATAAAAACTGTCAAGTGATATTGATGGACAATAACCGCAATTTATACTGTTGACAATAGCTAATTGTTAATAGAAATTTCATAACAGATTAATAAAGAATAATTAATATTGATCCAGTCATTTATTCTTACCATAATTAATTGTTGGCGTTGTAATGTCTACTAGTGTGAAGAGCAAACCAACCAATTCTAGAAGCGATACCACTGCAGATAATTTGTTTTTCCGGTTGTTTCCAAATTAATTTCCAATTGCCTCCCATTGTTACGGTAAAAATTAACTGCACAATGTTGCAACGTGAAGACGTCAAAAGCATCGGTTGTTTTAGTAGCACCAAAATTAACTGCAATTCCTTCTAATTTGTGGGACAACAATCTATATAGAAACAGGCAAGAAAAAGTAATTAATTACCACTTTTAAAGAAAGTAAATCAGTAACATTTTCATGTGGCGATATAGTGGTAAAGTTGGAAGTCAACTTTCACATTGATGGAAACGTCAGTTCCACAATAATTCTGCTTTTTCCATTTCTGCAAAGTTGTCTATTGAAGCAAGTTACAAATGTCCAAGAAATCAAGTTCCTGGGGCCCTCATTTAATAATTTCAATTGATACTGTTACATACCAGTTTATTATCATAAATCCCTCCTTCAACAACACACTTCTTCTTCAGCACATTGTCTCCGTTCCCAATCAAAAGGCATTTTCATGCTTTCTTTATGACCATAGGAACAGTCACTTTTTGGAGTCAATGAGAACCAATACAATCAATGCTCCACAATTTAATGGCATCTGGAGTTCTAACATCCCTGTAAAATCAAATATTATGAAAAAGTATTCAAATATAATAAATTTATCAAACAAATACACTACGNTTACGAAAAAGTATTCAAATATAATAAATTTAGACCCCCTACTAAGTAGAGTGCATAAATTAATTGTTAAAAGTAACGCCGTACCCTTTTGTCTTTTAATATCAAGCAAATACACTACATATATATAATACAGCATGTATGCTCACCTTAATTAAATACAAGAGCATCCAGGGTGAAAATTTAACAGCTTTGCTCCGAATGGAAAAAAGACACTTTCATGCTTCCTTTAGAACCATGGACACAGCTACTTTCCGGGGCAAATTAGAACTAATACAACCAAGGCTCCATAATTTCATAATTTAATGTTATCCGGAGTTCTTCTAATGTTCCTGCAAAATGAAATCTTGTGAAAAAGTGTTTAGACATAATTAATCAGCTACTTTCCGGGGCAAATTAGGACTAATACAACCAATGCTCCATAATTTCATAATTTAATGTTATCCGGAGTTCTTCTAATGTTCCTGCAAAATGAAATCTTGTGAAAAAGTGTTTAGACATAATTAATTAAGTATTAATAAAATAACGTGCACGATACATTGTTAAAATAATGCTGAACCTTTTTCTTTGTTAGCATCAAATAAATACACTACATATAGAAAATATAGTATGCATGTTCACCTTAATTAACTACAAGAGCCTCCAAGATGAAAAATTAACAGCTAAAACACCATAGGAGACGACTTATCTTTTCAGTAAGCAAAGGATATCAGTTCCAATCTCTCACAGTTGTTAACTAATCTGTGTAAACAAACAAAAACAATTATTAACCAATTAATTTAATAGATATCTGTTACGCAGAAAATTTAAATATTTAATCCTTTTCACTTTTCTCCCTTTCTCTCAAATGAAAGTCAAAATATATGCGGAAAATAGTTAAAAAAAAAAGAATTAAACACTCGTATTAAATAAATAAAACATGAAATAAAACAAAAACACGTAATAAAAAACCAATTAAAAGCCAATAAAATAACAAAACATTAATAATGGTGTCGTAGCCACCTGATGTTTGAAGATATAACCCTTAACAATTTTGTCAAATTAATTTATGCTGTGGGCAAATACGAATAATAGTAATAGAATGTGAATCAATCAAACTAACAACTAACCTTTCAGACGAAGAACAAATTAAAACTAATAGCTCGATAAGTTGAATTTAAGAGACGCGAAAACACGTCCTTCCACCTCGAAACTTTATGAACTTATAATGAACAAAACGCCTCTCAGGCTTGTCGCAAAATTGCGATTGCTACCACATGAAGCACTGATGACGTAGACAAACGCCAATCAGATGCGTTAAATTCGATGTCTGCGACGCTGTAACCAATCGCGTGCTTAGTTTCATCCCCGTTTTACAGAATTCAATTTATCTGCGTTTTTGCTTCGTGCAAGTTCCATCGCCTGATCACTACTCGCAAAGATATATATGCATTTTTGGGTATAATAAAATTCGACCAAACGGACAAGTTGAATTTATAAACATTAAACGAATGAAATTAAGAAACTAGCTAATTGCAGTATAACATTTTAGAACTACCTTATTGTTATTTTTAAAAAAATTGCACGCAATTAAAGTTTTTCTGGTAATTATATATAGTAATATTAACAAACAGTTTCTGTGGTTTAATTCTCCTATGTCTGAATTATTAATAACCTCGATGTATATTTACCTATTCAGAATTTTAAGCTTGTATAAGTTATTAGGTAACTAACTAACTACAATTTGTAGTTATTTTGTACCAAAAGATGACATAATATGTACTTTGTATACGTATACATAATGCAGAGTCAATTAATTGCATTCTGTTGTTTAAAGAAAACAAAAGATGACATGGACGATATAGACTATAGACTATTGCCCATATCAGAATAGAAAAAAAAACACTTAGAATGTATTATTCATCTCATACAGGAATGTAAGAAGTTTTAGTTATAAAACCGTTGTGAATAAATTGACAAGCATATTTCGTTGACATACGGGAGGGATGTTGTAATTTTCATTTGAGATAATTCAAAATCACAGCCAGTTTTTCCTTTCTTATGCCAAAGATGTGCATGGCCTTTTTTACAAGGGTTTTATAACTGAAGCATGCGATTTAAAAACACGGACATTATTAAAAATACAATACTTTTTGAAAAGGTAGAAATGAATTTTAGACTTCACATGCCTACGAAATAAACAACTGTTACAAATTTCTTAATGTTTGGACAAAAAATTAAAAATTCATTGCGTTGTTACCATATGCTACCAAAAAAAAAACAGGTACATTACTTCTTAATCAATTCCTATTTAGAATAAAGAAGTATCTATCTCCGTTACTATTATTACTTTATTACATTTTTATACGTTCATCACAATTCTATCAAATAACACTTTTATGTCGGCATTTTTAACTAACTATACGCATCTTTCTGATATTAAGTTTGGATAATTGATTAAACTGTTTGTGAATAATATCTATACATTACTTTTATTTCTCTATTTTTTATGTATTGTTGGGGCTTGACCCGTAACTTAATTGATTAGTAAGTACACAAAATAATGTATTTTACTGTGGTTACAAGTTAATCACTTTTAGCGAGTTAACATATTTTATTTCTGTGCTTCAATTGAATGAAATTCCTTAGTTAAATAAACTTTACTTATTATCGTCGATTTATCTAGGTTATGGATCATAAACTATACATTATGATTAACAGATTAACACGACCAACAAAACAAAAATAATCTAAACTATTACAAAAACTTATATAACTTCACGATAATGTTGACTTGTGCGCTTATCGCAATTCTGTGATATTCGAAATTCGATCGAATAATCAACTAATTGAATTTTTTAAACATAAAGGAATCAAATTTAGAAACTAGGTAATTACTGTATAAGATTTAAGAAGCATCTATCACCTTGAACATTTTGCTTTATTACATTTCTATACTCTAATCACAATTTTCCTAAATAAAGCTATCCGTTTTTTGTATGCATATTTAACTATAATTATCTTTCTCTATCAGAAATCCTATAAAAAATTGTAATGTACACGACACAAGGTAAAAATGCCCACATTAGAGAAATATACAAAACAAAGTGATAAAAATTCATTTACAATAACAGTGTTAGTGTTGGAAAAGCATAATCATTTTCATAGACTGTTTTTGTACCAAAAACATTTAGATTATTTTATTAAAATCCAATAATTTAGTTGCTTACGAATTTCGATTCGCACTGTAACATTTCTATCTTTATCTAGATCTAGACTACAGCGCACTCATTTAATTTTGCAGGAAGGTTTCAATTTAAAATACAAATTGTTTTAAATACGACTGGCGACTGTTGGTCATCTATATAGGCAACCCACTTAACTGCAAAGTATTCTGAACGTCAGGCTGCAGTAGCAGTTCTGACTTCTTTTACTTATTAAAGATTCGGCTTTCAAAATCAGGATTTAAAATATTAATAATCACGAAATAAAAACGTTTTTAAATTTGGGGTTGGAAGTGCAAATACGAAGTATTTTCTACATTCCTTTAGTTTTTAATTCACTTCAGTATCTGAAGAAGGTAACCTTATTATTGAAAAGTACTTCAAAAGTTTACTGTAGTGTTTTCACCTTACAGTTTTAGCTATTTATGATGTTCTATAACATCACCAAAGTTTTCCAGTCTTCCAGATGATATTTAATGCTTACTTTTTTGAAATATCTACATCATTAATTAATATTACTTACCTATTCACTATCACAAATCCTTCCTTCATTAAAATATCAACACATCATACTGCCTCTGTTTTCAGTGCAAAAGGGCACTTTTACGTTTCCTTTAGATACTGCTCCATCCTGAAATGAAAAGTGCTCTATATCTTCTATAATTTTTATGTATCTATAAAATGAAATGTTTATGAATGAAAGGACATACAAAAATAATTTAGTCTCCTTACTACAAAACCTGCACAACAGAAAGTTATAAGTATGTTACTAAATATATTATGGCATGTATTTCTTACCTCAATTAACTCCCAGACACAATTCAGCAAGAGCACTGTTCCATGGTACACAATTTTGTTTTCAGTAGTCAAAATCAACTGCAATTCTCTCTCTCCTTTGCAGGCCAATCTGTACAAATAGACAAGAAAACAAATTAACTACATTATTAAAAAACCACGATACCAAATAAAATACACACATAAAAGCAAGTAAAACTGAAAAAATTCAAACTGGCCACATAATAATGGTGTCAATTGTTTTTTTTTAGGAAGACAAATTATCAAATAAAAATTAAATAACCTTAATACACAATACAATTTGCGACTTTTACCGGAGCTAATTATCAAAATTATATACAATCATAATAATAAATACGATAACAACAGTAGATACGAAAATAATTAAACAATACAGTCAGGCAATTGACATATAACAGGTGTTTTGTCATTTCTGCAAAATAAACAAATATCGCATATGCAACCAAACAAACATCAGTGTAAATCAGATTGCCTAAAAGTATTTGATGAAAAATTATATGTAAAATAAAAAAAGTTTGTACGTGCTGTTATAATTGTTTTCATTTTAACAATACGTATATAAAAAAATACTAAGTACAATTAGAAAAAATATATTATAAGGGGCCCTTCAGTTCAATATTTCGAATCTCATAAAGATTTGCGAGGCAAGCATCAACAAATCAGCCTCTGCTCTCTCATTGGAAAAGAGAGGGTGATATTTACAATNATGTAAGTATCTGTATATTTAATAAAATTATGCAAATTTTACAACTTTTATTTATATGGTTGCTCATTATGATATGCTCGTTGCATTAGTAGAAGCATTTATTATTATTAGAGGTACATACGTTTATTCTTACTCACTTGAATTAAATCAATATTTCCCAGCTCAACTAAGAACAAAATAAGCGGCTTTCAAATTCAAATTCAACATTTGGAATAATGTCTTAAGTTTTAACTTGCAGACTAATTTCTCGATAATTTAAAGTGAATTAAATAAATAATAAATTGAAAACGAATAATCAATAAATTTCGTAATTATTGAGTACTACGAAAAAGAAAATGCAGCTAAACATTATATTTACATTGGTTACAGTTTTTAGTTACTAAATGAGACAGTCTATTTGTCATATTGGCACACAGTGATTCGTGTCAGAGTTCCACCTTATGACGTGGTGTTTTGTGTATTTAGTTTTAAATTATTTGAAAACGTATGTTTAGAAATGTGTTTAAATAAAAGTTATTAGTGTATGTAAAATTATCCATTAATTAAATCATTTTAGATTGCTAGAACCTATAAAAATTGACAGTTTTAGGATCTTATGATACAAATAATTTGTGATTTTTCAACTTTTATCTTTGATTAAAATATACGTAGTGCAACATGTGGACTTCAATTAACTTTAAAATAGTTGTTTTTATTATGCAACTTATATTCATATCCAATTCTCAAAAGGTAGCCCCAGGAGTTAATCCACAACAATACCAGGTAATTAAAAATTATTAAGTTACCTGTAACAGTATTTTAAATAGGTAGTTTTAATTTTAGCAGTATCAAGATCCTCAGTATAATTACCAACAATATCAGGTAGTACACGATGTCTAATGTGAATTTTAGATTTAGAAAATAGTTTGTTAATAACAACATTAAAAGAGAGTAAAACTAACTGCATGGAAATTGTGCTAGTACTAACAATAATTATAACCTACAACCCTTACTTAAATGTATTGCAATAATATGAATTAGTTTTTTTAACCAACTAAATAGTGGATGAAGTTCATTTATTGATTATTTTTAGCAACCTCCTGTTAATCAACCATCACCTATACAACATCAACAACAACCTGTTCAACATCAGCAACCACCTGTTCAACATCAACAACCTCCTGTTCAAAATCAACAACCTCTTCAGCAACAGCAGGTTCCTATTCAACAACAACAGGTACCTGCTCAACAACAAGTTCCTGTTCAACATCAGTCCCATGCTCATGGAGCACCTCAAAAAGTTCTTAATGCTGCCAATATGGAGCATGAAAAAGAGTAAGCTTAATTCGAATATACAAAATAATGTGTAGTTTTTTTTTGTATTTCATAGTTCAAAATGAGTATATTGATTTATTAGCAGTTGTATACTTTTTATTATTTATGGGGTAAATGTAATATTTAATTTCTTTTGTTAGGCATATTGCTGAACACTTAGACGTCCCAATTGATACAAGCAAAATGACCGAACAAGAATTGCAGTTTCATTACTTCAAAATGCATGATGCTGATAACAATAACAAACTAGATGGATGTGAACTCATTAAATCACTGATCCATTGGCATGGTATGTTTCTCTGTAATATATTTAATGCCTTTTTTAAATTGCTATTGCATGTTTTCTTCCATAGAGCAAAAAAATAATATTGTTAATTAATAACACTTATTACAAGCCTTCTAGTAACTCTGCACATTTTAATTGGGCTTCTTGTATGCAATTTTTGTGTTTTTATTGTGTTTGAGTTTTTTTTGTTAATACTTCAATAGAGCAAGGTGGAAAGGGTCCTAACCACGTGGAAGAAAAAATATTTAAAGACGAAGAATTGGTTACTCTAATTGATCCAATTTTGAATACTGATGACACAAATCGTGATGGGTACATTGATTATCCTGAATTTATAAGAGCACAACAGAAAGCAGCAGCTAGTGCTCAAAAGCCATAATGTGTGCGCCCATTGTAGGTTTGCTTTTGTTTTTGGGATGTTTTATTGATTTGTTTCTTGTTTTTTAAGTATAAAAATCATTTTGTCACCATTTTGAAAACGTATTTTTGAATCGTATTAAAAATTACAATGAATATATTTTAAATAGTGCAAAATTATTTAATTAAAATATTTTAGATGGATCTGAACAGCAAGTTAAAATTTATACAGACGAAGAACTGAGTGGAACAGTGGATGTATTGTTTGCAGAATTAGATAAAAACAATGATGGATTCATTGAATATACTGAATTTAAACATATAACATAATTTATTATACGCTACTGTATATTGTGTTATTGGAACTGTTCTTGGGTTGTGATTTTTTTTCATGTTTATTTATACTGTAGTTGTGGTTGGAACAAGATTAATAAAAATTTTATTTGCATTGATTTTTCTTTAATGTCATTTAATATTTAAAAGTAAGATATTTTCAATAAAAATATCAACAATATTTTTCCTCATAAACAAGGGCTGGGTATATTTTAAATCAAATTTATATGCTGCTGATGATGCAGTTTACAATTTAAGTATTGTTTTCATTTTTTATGAGACACATATGTTTGCATACAGTTTAACTGTGTATACAAAGGAACCATTAATTTAAAAAACTAAAGTATACAAAAAAGTGTATTGATCAAACTGTTACAGGAGATGACAATGACAAATTTCTACAACGATATGGACATGATACAAAATTGCATTGCCTTTAAAATAACTTAGTGAGTTCTTTTTGATGATTTAACTAACTTCTCATATTTACTTTTGCTGCTGTACCATAAAAATACAGGGATTGCTAATGATGGCAAAGACATGATAGCAAAAGCAGCCCAATCAAATGCATGGGAAGAGAACCTCTTATTATAATCCCTGAATGCAATAATACCTCCCTCACCTGGCTCACTACTCCATGCTACCTGGAACTGTAACATCATTATAAAAATTACTGTGCTACGTTAGGAGTCACTGTATTTTCAATTAAAGTGATAAAAATAAGTAATAAGTGTGAACTCACATCTGTATCTTCAATATCGGATTTATAGGTAACTTCAGCAGATGTAAAATTAAAATATCCAAATCTTATTGGTCTTACAACAACAACATGGGTATAATTAGAATGTGACGGTATTCGATCAATATGGGCTTTAAGTTGGCCACCCATCACAGCAAATGCTTCCGGACCAAAACTACGATCGTTTAGAGTAACATCAACAGCAGCTGAATTTCCAATATTGAATAACGAATACTTTACATTAATGTCCATATTTTCCACTAAATATGTATTAAGAATATGTTTCGAAACTAGTAACCTAGCTCGAGTTTCTTCTTCAGAATTACACCGGACGAATATAACGAGTACAGAACATAATATAAACAGAACTTGTTTCATTTTGGTAGTTATTTAATAAACAGATATTCTAATCCACTAAACTAGCTGCAAACACTAGTGGTAAATATATTATTTTATTACAAAACAACAGGCCGACTATCCACGTGTAAACCAACTAACAAGTGAGAATAACGGAATCTCATTCGACAAATAATCATACAAATAACAAACCAACGTTGTTGGTTATAACAACGTAACAACTGTTTGCCACGTCAAATCTTCAATATAAGACGTTGCCAAATGATTTACAGCATTGTCAAATGTATGTATTTTTTATATAGATAAACAGTTCAATAATCTGAATAAATTAATTTATTTTAAAAATTTCTTATTTAAACACGTTTAACAAATTCTTATTTAAACAATAAAAATTGTGTAATATAATTCTTGCATCGTTCAACCGTTCCATTAAATGGACCCAAATATATGCAACCAACATAAATTCCTTCGAATGGTGGTTGCATATATAAAGTAAGTACTTTTGCCCTATGATGTAATAATATAGTCAGGAATTTTTAGTTTTTTTAATAATCTTAGAATAGTTATTTCGTGACTTACATAATTTGAATATTTTGTTAATGTAATTTTGTTTTTTAAGCCTATGATAAATTTGTATTGTTGAAATTTTGGAACGACTGTATCTAAATAAATTTTAGTATAAATTTGCATGGATAAACATATGTAAAAATTACGGTGGTGAAGTAATTTTAAGATTTCGAAAAATGAACGGAATGAATAAAGCAAAAAGTTTAAAAATATTAACATACAATATATGTATATTCTTTATTTGATCCAGTCATACCAGTAAGATAATACAACTCATCCAAAACTATAAGTATAAAAAGTTAGTAAGACAACTTGTTGAAATCGAACCGTTATTTTGTCGCTAATATAATTATTATGAAAGAAAATATTTGTCTTTTACAAAATTAAAGGTAGGTATCTGCCGTTAACTCTTTATCATGAATAAATAGATTAAATAAACAAAACTCTTGGAAAATGGTCATAATTGTAATACTTTTAAAAATGCCTCAACAGGGCGAAATATGCGCATCGAGATTAGTTAATAAAAACAATTGTGACCATTTTCCAAGCGATTTATTTTTTTAATTTATTATTTGTATTCTATTAATTTTAAAAAATATTGTGTTTTGCTAACTTGATATAATGTTAGCGAAACACCTAAGGCGAATTGTATTTAAAAATAAATTTTAACAACAATTAGCCAGTTTGAAATATGCCCCGATAGAATTTTTAAAACGCAAAAATTCCCTACTTTACAACTAATCCGCTTCTTTGAGAATATGTTACGAAATTGCTCATCCCTTCACCTACTTCGTTAGATCTGCAACAAAACACCACAATATTTGTGGGGATTTGTCGTTCGCCTCGGCCGAATTAGTTGTGAAGTTTGCAAATTTATAGGAATTTTCAGTAAAACACCCCTTGGAAATGGGTAATAAACTGTAAATCAGTTTCGACAGAATTTCGCGCATTGCCATTCTGCCACGGCGAATTACTAGCAAATTCCTAGCTAGTAATCACGACAATATATAATTTCGTGTTTGCTAATTGTTAAAAATTACAGAACTCTAAGTGGGACTATTGAAAAGAGCGTCAAAATTATAAAAACTTGGCTACTGAGAAGAACTCGATTTTTATATTAAATATTTCTATTGTAAACAATAAAAAATGTGTGTGACGGAAAAATGTTTTCGAGGTTACATTTGTAATTTTTCGGACTAAATTTTAAGAAAAAAAATATGCAATATTTTGCAATTGTTTATGAATATTACTTATAACAGCTCCATTAAAATATATATATAAATAACTTCATATTCTTCGCAAAAAGTTGTAAAACATCCCTATGTATCAGTCTTTAATATATTTAAATCTTCATCCGCACAAAAGGGGTGAAACTTTAACAAAACTGTGATTTCAATTTCTTTAGGGCCAAAAAAATACCTTCAACAAACTGAGAGGTTTTGTAGTGCGGGAACAAAACTATCAATTCCTAAATTGACAAAATAAAATACCGAACAACAAATAAAATATGGTTGTGCAAATCTTATTAAAAAAAATAAGTTGAAATTCCCTAGAAGAATCGAGAAGTATTTTTTGGAAATTCCGTTTGCAAAAAGTTTGTAAGTAATCGCTTGACAGCGAATTCTTGTCAGAACACTCGAGGCATATTTTTGAGCGCACGCTCAGGCCGCTGTTCAACATGGACAGACGATTTCGACGCTTTTTTTTACACAATTAAATTCTCTACAAAAAGGGTCTACTTTTTTTTTTGTATTCGATGTAAAAGGTCCGAAAAGGCACTTTGCAAAACTTTAACTTTCAATGAACAAATGTAACAATAATATAATTCGAAGTGGTCTGTATTCTGTCGAAACTGCCAGACGCGGATCGCGATTTCGATCTTTTTGGATCTCATCAGCGCGTCGCAAGCAGCTCCGACAGAAAACAGACCAACTTTTACCTACTGTCTTAACAGTGCGTTTCAGAAAATACTACAAACGGCACAGTGAACGCCATCTGTAGCACGATGCTACATTTTCTGTCGGGCTGCCTGTGACGCGCTGATGAGATCCAAAAAGATCGAAATCGCGATCCGCGTCTGACAGTTTCGACAGAATACAGACCACTTCGAATTATTTTATTCGATTAAGCTAACGTGCCTTTCAGGTTGAGGTTGGCTACGCCAGGATTCGTTTTCAGCAAGTAGATATCCACACAAGTGGACCTTATTGAAAATACGTAATCCTAAAATGTAGCATCGTGCTACAGATGGCGTTCACTGTGCCGTTTGTAGTATTTTCTAATGGAACAATAATTTCGGAGTAAAATAAAATTTATCTTCATTAGGACATTAATGCACGATAAATTCTCACGGCTACTAGACTAATTAATCTTACTTGCGATTTAGACATTTATACACTATAAAGAATTCCTTATTTAGGTAGATATCAAACATCATTTAACTTTTTTTGTTCTGTTAGATTTATTTCGAATTTTTTGTTTATCAAATAGTTTCTATTTGTATTATTTCTGTATAAGTTTTGCACATTTTAATCTTGTTTCGCTTTACTTTAATTTATAACAACTTTTAAAAAATGTAACAGGAACTGGGTGCCTAACAAAATTTGATTAATTATGCTGCATATTTTTTGGGGCGCTTTTAAAAGCTAATTAACCCACAAAATATGAAGTCAACATTAATTATGCGACTGAACAAACAGTGTTCTATTTTTATACGTGCTTAACAGTTAGAATAATAAGTCAGAAACGATAAAAACCGAAACCATTTGACCATTGAAATTAGATTTGGAATGAAATCATTAGTTTATATGTATAACTGCAGTCGGTCATTAACGATATACAAAACTAATTGATGAGAAATATAAAGAAAAGGTTTTCAAAATCTACAGGTCATAATGTCATAAAAATTTGTTTAGTAATAATACAAGTGTTCAATCTTAATTTTTAATGAATAAACTGAAATCCATGTTGTTAATTAACAAAGTGGACGCATGTAAAATTATAGAATGGAAGTTTTAACTACAGCAAAATCAAAAATTTATGAACAAAAAAAGAAATAGAAATGCGTAGTTCTTTTATTATATCATAGATAAGTAGGTAAAGCAAAATTTATTTAAGCTTTTATAGTCTTTCGTTATTTTTTTGCGATTAAACGAATAATTTAGAAAAAAAAATGCAATTTTGACTATAGAATTATATACATGCAGCTAATTACTCTAGGAATTGATTACGTTTACATATAATTTTAGGTGAGCTTTAAAACAGTGGAATCTCTATTATTAATAAAAGAAAAACACCAGCTGATACACTTGCATGCCTTAAACTTTGTACACTATTTGACAAGCAGTTATTAAAAAAATTTCCAATCATCGTCCAGCTTCGTTTAAAATAGATTCATTAGCCCGTGACAATTACCTTTTGTTTTTGTACACCATATAACAGTAATCTACTGTTAATCATTACTGTTCATCACAACCGTTTGATCAAAACATCTAATAATTATCATCAATTGAGTCGCTAGTGAATAAACGCCTGGCACCATACTAATAACGATAAAACAGCAATAGCCACTTCAATTAAACCTGCTCTATGTAACAGTATGCCGATTTTGAGAGACAAATTATTTACTTGACTACCATTTGACATAGTTATAAGTTATAAATCCTAAGTAATATTGTAAATACGGATGTGTTTGTTTGTTACGATTTCACGCCTTAACTACTCAACTCATAATTATAAAATTTTGTACACACATTGCTAGAGATGTAGAAAACAACATGAGGCACTTTTTATAAAATAAATACTGTTTTCGAAGGATATAAAAAAAAATAGTTTTATGTGGTCGTCGATGATCTTTGACACTCAGGACAGCAACGCTAGCGAAGCCGCGGGTAAAACCTATCATAAGGTTTTGTACACACATTGTCAGGGTTAAAGAAAAGGTCATAATGTATCTTTTATCCAGAACAAAGATACCGTTCCCGAGGTATATAAAAATTAGTTTTACCTGGACGTCGATGATCTTTGACGTTTAGAACACCAACGCGAGAGAAGCCGCGGGTAAAACCTTTCATAAAGTTTTGTACATACATTGTCAGAGGTAAAGAAAAGGACATAGGGTATTTTTTATCTAGAAAAAATACTGTTCTCGAGGGATATAAAAAATTTGTTTTATGTGGTCGTCGATGATCGTTGACACTTAGAACATAAACGAGACCGAAGACGCAGGTAAAACCTATCATAAGGTTTTGTATACACATTGTCAGGGGTAAAAAAAAGGTTATAGGGTACTTTTTATCCAGAAAAAAGATACTGTTCCTGAGAGATATAAAAATGAGTTTTACGTGGTCGTCGATGATCTTTGACACTCAGGACAGCAACGCTAGCGAAGCCGCGGGTAAAACCTATCATAAGGTTTTGTACACACATTGTCAGGGTTAAAGAAAAGGTCATAGGGTATCTTTTATCCAGAACAAAGATACTGTTCTCGAGGTATATAAAAATTAGTTTTACCTGGACGTCGATGATCTTTGACATTTAGAACACCAACGCGAGCGAAGCTGCGGGTAAAACCTTTCATAAAGTTTTGTAAATACATTGTCAGAGGTAAAGAAAAGGACATAGGGTACTTTTTATCTAGAAAAAATACTGTTCTC